ACCGTACGACGATACGCGACGACGAGAGAGAGAGAGAGAGAGAGAGAGAGAGAGAGGAGGAGGAGGAGGAGGGAGGAGCGGAGCGAAACTGGAAAACGCGCACGAGAGAGAGTCGGAGCTGGCGCGTTCCGAGGGAAAAAAAGTACAACGATCCCCGTGCTTCCACCAATTCGACGCTTTTGCCACGTGTTGCTATATACGCTAGCTTCCTCTCTTTGAGCCTTCTTGTTGCTTCATGAGCCCCGCGTATATATACGTCTAGTCGCTCTTCGCCGATATATAGGGGCGAGTGCCTCGTGTCCTCGAACGCAGGCGGCTCGTGCGTAGGCAAACTATGGAATATGTCAGCCTATTGAGCGCAGGTGCTTTAAGCTGCTCAGCTGTTGCTTCGAATCTCATGCACATTCACCGCGATACGTGTATCGCGTTGATATTGGTGCACACTAAGCAGTGCGTAGTACACCGTATCGGCCGTCCGCGTGCGTGCAAACCGGCTCACGTGTTCCACCCACGCACTTATGCGTATCGGCAATTGAATGGTGAAACGATCGGGGTCCCCGCCGCGAGCCCTGTCCTCGCTGAATGAATTCGTTAAACGGCCGTCGATTATCGTTTTCATCGCGCGATTATCGTTTCGTAACCAAACGTCGTGGAAATACTTTTCTGAGCTTAAGAAGACGAGGTAAATCGTCGTTTTTAGGAAGAAACGGGGAGATTAAAAATCGAGAAGATCGAGGAAGGGTTTTTTTTTTTCACAGATCTGAAGTTGGATAAAGAGTGGTAAGTTTCGTTCGAGAGAGTTGAGGATTTCCTTTCCTTCTGCCTATCGATCAACGTGTAATCGACGAAGAGTCGATTTGCCGGAACAAGCTACGTTCTGAATAAGAAATTTAGCGCAAGTAATTTTCTTATAGTCTTTCCTCGTCTTCGTTGTCCAGCATTTCTCTCCAGAACTGTGGGCAAGACTTCGGCCCAAGTTGAAAACACACATACACACACATACGTTACAGGGCTATTCTTCGTCTTGTCGTCATGATCGATTACCAGTAGTATTTTTAACTGACAATTTAACTTGCTATTCTCTCCTATAGTTACACCAGTGACTTGATCGTGCAATGAACCGATACGATTTTATCGTACGTGCGTTTTATTTTGCAAAGAAATTTCTCCTTCCTTTTTCTCCCGAGATTGCGATGTTTCTGATTTCTAAACTGGAACGAAGAATGGAGACGTTTCGTTGGACACGTTATCGGTGAATTTCGATTTTTAATTCGAAGGAAAATTAAAATTTCACTAAGCGCATTAAATCTAGACGATAAACTCGTTTCGCTGTAACAATTAAATTACCCTATGTCACACGAAGTCGACGATAGTCGTACATAGTATCAGACACTTCTATCTAAATCGGAAATCGTCGGAGGTTCTATATACGGAACGTGTTTAAAATAAAATACGATTCACGAGTATAACTCCTTCGAGGGTGATACATCGCGTGTATCGATCGCGTATCATTGAACGCGCGGCTGGTTTTCTTTTTTTTTTTTTCCTTTTTCTTTCCTTTCTTTTTTCTTCTTAAGGATCCTATAATTAACACACTGCAACTGATTTCTGTTCCAGACGAGATAAGAAGAATCGCGGGAAGGAAAATCGAGACGAGGGAGCGAGGGGCACCTAGCCCTTTGGCGAGCTCGAAGGATGCAGCTCCCAGGCGGGAGCACTAGAATTCCGCCCGCGAGAGCACCGGCCTCAGTTCTCGTGATTATAAACGGAAGTAACATCGTATCGAAGACTGTGACGAAGAAACGTAACGGAAACTGTAGCAACAGTAGCGAAAACGGCGGACCCGGTACGAATAGCGACAGATATATAAGGAATAACGATAGGAATAACGATCCCGTGCCGCGTCTCCTGATAAGAAATCGCCATCCCGAGACGAGGACGAGCCGCCGACAAGCCCGAGTCACCGAGAAGCCCCAGCTGTTGGCGTCAGCCCCAAGGCGGAAGGATCGGGGCGAGGAATAGTAAAAAGAAAGTAGAGAAAAATCGAGGAACGACGGAAGAAGAGGAAGAGGAGGCAGGAGAGAAGGAGAAAAAGGTGAAGAGGAGGAGAAGGCTAGAGTTCTTGGGAAGGAGAAGGGTGCCGACGTCGTCGTCGTCGGCGGCGGCGGCGGAGGAGGCGGAGGAGAAGGAGAAGGAGGAGGAGGAAGAAGAGGAGGAAGAGGAGGAGGAGGAGGAGAAGGCGGCGGCGGCGGCGGCGGCAGAGAAGGAGGAGGAGGAGGAGGAGGAGGAGGAGGAGGAGGAGGAGGAGGAAAGGAAGAAGAGGAGGCGGCGGCGGCGGAGGCGCGACGGAGGAGAAGGAGGTGGAGGAGGAAAAGGAAGAGAAGGAGAAGGAGAGCCCAAAGACGAAGAAAGTGGAGAGGGGAGAGTGTTGGGGATCAGAGTGGGGAGGAGAAGGTAGAAGGAACGAGGAGAAAAGACGGCTGTGGTAGGGGAAACGGCGAGAATAGTAGAGTAGAGAAGCAGAGGCAGCGCGCTGAGCCACGAGGGGCTATTCGAGCGAGAAGGGGAGGGGTGACAAGGAACCCTGGCGGGGAGGGGACGCGGAGGCCTTCGGGGGGCCGACCAACCAGACGGCCGATGATGTCATCGGGGGAGGAGACCGAGTATTTCGCCCCCTACGGAGCAACTACGGAAAGCAAGCAACAGCGACTCCAGAAGAAGCAGAAGCGCACCAGACAGCGCGTGGACGCCGGCGAGCCGCGCAACAACTACTCGAGTATACCGCACTTCACCTCCCGGCCATCCTTCCACGGCGGCGGTGGCCTGTACGGTTCTATCTTCGGTGGCAGCGGACCAACGCACCAGCAGCAGCAACAACAACAACAACAACAACAACAACAATCGCAGCAACATCACCCGTCGCAATCACAATCGCAGCAACAACAACAACAACAACAACAGCTCCAGCAGCAACAAGCTGGAGCGGCAAGCAGTCAAGGTCATTTAAGTACAGCTACGACGGGTCCTAGCACTCAGCAGCATTCCGCCACGCGGCTTTTGGCTTCTTCGGGGCACCGGGTTACGGCCCCGCCAAGATGTTGAACGAGCTACTCGGACGACAGGTCAAACAGGCCAGTGACGCCGGTGGCTCGCCGCCAGAGGGCGGCCACGGGATGACCGGTGCCGGCATGGACCCCGCTGCTAATTTGCAATCCGGTGCAGTGGTTAATTGCGACGATCCCGCCACCGCCGAGCTCACGCAGCACATGCTCCGCGATATACTCCAAGGGCGGAAAATTTCCGCGCTCGCGCTGCAAGAACAGCCGAACAACAATAACAGTATACACAGCAACAACAACAACAACACCACAGCGGATCTACTTAAATCACAGCAGCAACATCATCAAAGCCCTCAACAGCACAACAACAACAACAGTGATAGTGCACGTAGTGGTGCAGTGCAGAGTGGTGGGGAGGAGAGTGGTGATGGGAATAACGTCGTGAATAACGCGAGTCACAGTGATCGTGATACCGTGATGCCGGGCGATGCTGAGGATAGTGCCGAGGACGCAGCCGCGGCCGCACGTGCCATGGAGGAGGCGTTCGCCGAAGCTGGTATGGAGCCTGGAGCGAATCTCGATGGATCCGATTGCGAGCAGAGTTTACCACCTAGTCCCACGCAGCCAAGGTCAGGGTCCGTCTCCGTCAAGGAGGAGATACAGGACTCGTTGAATATCAAACGAAGCCCTAGCCACTCCCCTTGCCCGATCGTGCCCAAAACGGAGGCCAACTCGCCGACCACGGAACGAAACGCGCCCGTGTCGAGAATATCGTGAGCACGATGCGTAGCAGTCCAGCCCTACAAACTGCCACGGTGAACGGTTGCAAGAAGCGTAAACTTTATCAACCCCAGCAGCAGACGGTGCATCACGTTCTCCAGCACAGCGTCAACGATACCATGATGGACGACGAGGAGGAGAGCGAGGAGGAGGATGATCCGTCGACGATCAGGCAGAAACGCGAGGAGAAGGATAATCTCCAGACCCAGCTGAAGAAATTGCACGAACAATTGGCAGTGATGCAGCAAAAGTACAATGAGCTTACGAGTAGAATCGATTCGGACGCGGGCGAAAGCATCGGCGCTCCCCTAAGTCCTCAGCCACCGCTCAAACCACCGCAACCTCATCCACCGCCGTACAACGGGCTCCCGGCCCTCCCCACCGAACACCCACACGCCGCGGCAGCCGCTATGTATCACATGGGACAGAAACTCTACCTCGAACAGCAACAAGCCGCTCTGGAGAGGATGAAGCAGCATCAGGAGGCCGCTGTCAGGCAACAGCAGCAGCAGCAGCAACAGCAGCAGCAGCAGCAACAACAACAGCAGCAACATCAACGGCAAAGTTCTCCGCCACCCCCTCCGAGTCAACCGCAGCAACAGAGTCAAAGCAATACAGGCCCGTCCACGCCGCAAACACCACAAATGCAGCCAGCGAGCACGCCTCTCCAGCACAAAGAATTCCAGGAAAGGATAAACGTGTTTAGAGGGGCGGCGGCAGCGGCTGGCACCTCGGGCCCCCATATCACCGACGAAGATCTCCAGAGTCTGTCCGACACGCTGAAAGCGGAAATCACCTCGTACTTGACGAATCTGATCGACAAGGTGGTGACGAGGTTCGTCCAGCAGAGGAGGTATCTTGGTAAACAAAGCGAGGCGGCGCAAGTCGCTGCCGAGCAATTGAACAAGGACCTCTTGTTGGCGAGCCAAATACTCGAGAGAAAATCGCCGAGGACGAAAGTAGTAGATAGAGGAGCACCACAACCACCCGGTGGCCCAAACGGGCCACGGGGGCCCCACAATGGCGGGCCCCCACCTCCACAGTCTACGGGTTTCCCGCAAATCGCGTCCATGGGTGGTGGACCCCATGGTCCACATTCTGGCCCCACGGAAAACAATCTTAATCAAATGAATCAACTGCCCTCGCACGTGAGGGGCAGGATGTTCCAGACACCGAAACCGCCAACCATGTACAGCATGGCCTCCATGCAGGCGCAACAACAACAGCAGCAACAGCAACATCAACAGCAACGAGAACATCAGCAGAGAGAGCAGCAGCAACGTGACCAATACTGCAACTTGAGGGGCGACGAGAGAGAAAGCAGGGACTCGGAACAGAACGAGGCGCTTTCCCTCGTAATGACACCGAAAAAGAAACGCCATAAGGTAATTATCATCTTTCTTACATATTCTGTGTAATAAAAAAAATACCATAGATGACTTTTCCGTAGTCAAACGTATTCACTTGTTGCATTGTTTACTACAAGTTCGAATCTGATCGATTAAATTGATCACAAAAATTATTTCATATATATATACATATACATATATATATATGTGTATGTATGTCTTACGAAATACTGACGAATATTTCAAAAAATATAAATATAAATTCACGTTTAACATTATTGATATAATAAATTATTACAATAATGCGAATTTCGATCGCTTGCTACATTTTGTGTGTAAAATATAAAACGTGAAATATATTTTTATCAATTATTCGTTATTTCATTTCAAAATAAAACATATATACTTACAAAATATTCGAGTAGCTGAATACTTTTATATCCAATATTTGTATATACAAGTGATAGATATTCGTCAGTGACAGAATATACGTATCCCTCGATTTACGCAGAGTCTTTCTTTTACACGGAAATAAAAATATATTGATACAAAAAATATTGATACTTGAAAGAGAAGCAAAAAAATAAAATAGACCAAATTAGAAATATTTCCTTTTTAATTTCCATTTAACCGTATAAAAAAAAAAAAAAAAAAAGAAGAAGAAAGGAAAAAAGGAAGAGAAAAGAAACCGCGTAAATCCCGAGGGATAAATATACTCTTTTAGTTTAGTTTAGTTTTAAGTAGGCTAAGAGACTGAATTTCACGATTGTAAAATCGATGTATCAATTAGTATTTCCCTCCGCAGGTGACGGACACGAGGCTGACGCCGAGGACGGTGTCGAGAATCCTGGCGCAGGAAGGTGGTGGGTCGCAAGGAGGCAGCGAGAGTCCACCACCCCCGCCTCCACCGAGATCGTATCACCCGCCACCACCGATGCTGCCAGTCTCCCTGCCAACGAGCGTAGCGATACCAAACCCGAGTCTCCACGAAAGCCAAGTGTTCTCGCCGTACTCACCGTTCTTCAACCCTCACGCGGGTCATCCAGGCCAGGTACCACCTCCTGGCCCACATCACCTGCCTGCCAGTCCTCCGGGTGGAGGTGTAGATGTCAGGGACTCCCCTCCACTGCCCCACATGCCATTGCATCCTGCCTTATTGGCGGCTGCCCAGCATGGCAGTCCAGATTATGGACATCTCAGGATGGACAGCAACGAACGGCCCAACGACTGCAACTCCGACGACATCAGCTACGACGGGATTCAGCCTACAATATCCTTTTCTAATGCTAATGTTGTGTGTGTGAGAGAGAAAGAGAGAAAGAGAGAGAGAGAGAGAGAGAGAGAGAGAGAAACGTAAAAGAAAAGAAAGAAGGAAAAAAAAAGATGATAATAATAAAGAGAGATCGTCTCGATTCGCCTTTTGGTCGTTGGAAGAGTTGGAGAACGTCCAGAACGATGCGCGCCAAACACGAGGGGGTACGCCGTTTGTGTAATAGTTAGCGAACTGTCGAAGTTCCCTCTCGAAAACGGGTATCTCTCTGTTTGTTGGAGAAACAACACGCGCGGAATCTCCGCCGACTTTGTAACGCGACTGGTAATATCGCGAAGGGACAGAGTCTGAACGTTCTCCAAAGAAAGTAGGATGGAACTTTTGATATTAAATCGGGGGAAGGCATGCGCGGTTTAAAGAGCTGTATAAAGAGACGAGCGAAAAAACGAGCGTTAAAAAATGGTATAAAGGAGAAAGAGTTGATGACGATGCTTAGGAATCCAGTTTTTTCTTTTTCCTCTTTTCTTTCCTTTTTTTTACGTTTCTTTTCTGAGAAATCCCCGCATAAGGGAACGCGAGAGGAGGATGAGGAGGAGAAGGAGGAGGTTGGAAACTTTGGAAAACAACGGGCAGTTGTAGGAGAGAAAAAGCCAGTCCCGCCAATAAGGAGAAGGAAGTCGGAGAGTAAAGAGTAAGGGTAGGCGGCAAAGGGGGAAGCTCGGACGAATGTTAGATTAGTTTGCCACGGAGTTAGGCTAATGTTGGCTGCACCTACGAGTAGAGTTTGTCCGGCAACAACGCGCGAGGTCGAAAGTTCTTTGCCTACTCGGCCCACCCTCTCGGCCTCGAGTCTCACCCAACTTTGCAAGCCAATAATCTGTCCTGCAATTTCGGAATTTAACCACGGAAACGAGAAAGAGAGAGAGAGAGAGAGAGAGAGAGAGAAATAGAAGGTGGTCCGCGGCGAACTTCCCTTCACCAGCATCTCCTCGACTTATCGTAGATAAGCCACTTCTACTACTTCCCCGACCGTATGAGAGAATGCATCGTAGGAATTCCGTCTCTACAGACTTGACCCCCAACTTTATATTCCTTACGCCGATATCGGATCCTCTATTAAACGTCCTTGTATACCTCATTGCCATCCATTTTTCCTTGGTCGAGTCGAATCGGGAGAAGGAGGGGAGGGAGGGGGGAGGGGGGCGTTTTCTATTCTTCACGGAAATATCTTTCATCGAAGGGTAGCAACGGTGACGCGTTCGACGAAGGATGAAGAGGCAGGAACACTTGAACGCGTGTTATATATCATCCCCTCGTGATGGAAAAACCGGCCACGCAAAAATACGCGGCGCATTCATAAGCGGGGAAGGCAGCGAAGTGACCTCGTAGCACTGCGCTTTGACTTCGTAAAAATAGCTTCGGCGAACGGGCGAAGTTAAGACACATCCTTCTCTCTCAGAACGATCGTCTGAAAGCGTGATCAACAGGCGCGAAAAGTTCAGCAGCTCGATTATCACGCATGACCCGGCCGGATAGCCTCTCGCGATGCTCTCTCTCTCTCTCCAACACTTACCACCGAAAGCACTTGCAAATATATCGAAGGGGGTCTCTCCCCTCTCGCCTCGACCAGGAAAAAAAAGACGCGTGTCGCGCGGGGGCGTGAGGTGAACGCGTCGGCAACGATGCAACGCCGGTGGAACTGCATCGGCGTGTGTTGGTCCGGGTCGTTCGATCGGCAGCGCGGCGTTCTTTGCCGCCTTTTTAGTCGGCCTTTGATGTAAAATCAATGGCGCATTTTTTTCACTCCCTCCTCTTGGGGTAGGTCGAGCGCATGACCGGCGCGGCGCAACCTGCTGTTCACCACTCACCTCCGGATTCACCCTTGTCTGTCGCTGCTCCTGCCGGCCTTCCATGTATCCAAATATGCTTTTCACGCTGCTCGACTTTCCTCCGCCGGAATAACCCTTATTACTGTCTGCCATCTCGTTATCGCCCATCGACGAGCGCGCGTAAATGCGTCCTTCATCGCGGACGGATCTACACTCGTCGAATCGTTCGCTCGTGAAGGAAACGACATCGCACGACGAGAGCGACGATCACACCGACAGGTGTTACGTTCTCTCTCGCCCTCTTCTTCGTTTCGAATTTTAGAAGATTGCTATTTGGCTGTATTCCGGTGTTTCGATCGTACCTCTTTCGAATGAAAATTGTTTGAATTCATTTTTGTTTCGGCCTGGTCGATGAAAGGGGATGAAATTCTTGTTCAGGGAAGAGCACGCCTTAAAGGGACGGACGAATCGCGGCAGATTCGACACAGGATTAACCAAATAAGAATGCGATGAAACCACATGAAGAGATCCTATTACCGATAAGAAATCGGTAAGGCTTCCGTTGAGGATACGTGGCCAATCGTGGGTCAACCTCGGTGAGAACGTTTCGAGCCCTACTACCCTCGCGACATCCACAGCTTGTACGATTTCTAATCCAATTTGATACGAAGGAAACACGATTAAGTTTGAGATATTTTGCGTACACAGAAACAGATCGCCGTACAGAACGTCGTCCTTCTTCGAATTTTGCTTTGTTGCTGGTCCACCCATTTTTCCATACTTTTCTTCCTCCTCGATATAGAAAAAATTGCACGTATATTGCTGCTAAACTGCTTCATCGTGCATCATGTAGCAAAGAGTACAAATTACTGTTTGAAGAATATAATGAAAGAAAAACGGATCTTGTAATAATAATTGTACCGATAAATACACAATTACGTTATGAATAGATGAAAAGATGATGATGACTATGATATTATACGCGTTGGAATGTGTTTATGATAGAGATAACGATCATTTCAACGATCGTTTGACAAGCAAAAGTGATATTTCCTTAACCACGGTGAACTCGTCGATGCTAACACCGATACATCTGAGGAAGGCGAAGCTGATGTTCTTCTGGGTCAGGTACCCGTCCTCGTCCATTCTCAAGATGTACTTCCCCGACATCAGGTTCAATAAGAACAACACAGCGCAGCTGGTCAAGTGGTTCTCCAACTTCCGGTGAGTACAGCAATATTGTATTGAGAATTTACGGTTAACCACGGAAGTCGAAGGATTGTTTCAAACTTCGAATAACGGTCAAGATTTTGTAACATGTGGCCGTACAAATATTTCCCATGTATTTCTACGTTCTAACGCGCTCGATTTGTTTATTCTAAAATTCGAGGAATCACGAATCTTGAACGATAATTGAAACTAAACTTTCTAATGAATAATTTCGTTAATTAATAGAATTATATATTTTGTCAAAAATATTCGTTTTTAAAAATTAACAGAAACAAAATATCATTTCGATATATGTAATTATTCCAAATTACCGATCGATTAATATTATTAATTTCTGAATATATCTTTATTTATATTAAAAATTACATTCCAACACGTTTCCAAAACGCTTGAAAGGAACAATCCTTCGTCCTCGTAAAACAGCATGCACCCTATTTTACCAGAACAGAGCCCCGATCCTCGGTACGATCAACGTACGAATTTGCATAACACACCGTCCACTCGTCGTTCGAATTCCACATCCCCCTGGTAAAGACCGATCGTCGATATGAGATATCGTCGTCTTGGAACCCGTAGATCCTGGAATCGACGAGGAACACCTCCCTCGATTGACATCGTAACGCCACTCCCCGGTTTCCGTGTTGGCGCGGTTAAAAGAAACGCGGAGGATGTACGCGAATCCTGTGTATGCAAACGAGGACGAGGTTTTCAAGGGATCGACCACTCCCTGCGTAGAATCGGTCAGAACCCAAGAGACGAGAGTCACGATGGGTGTGTCCGAATCTTAATTACCCCTCTCTTCGGACGGGGATAAGTAACAGCGGCTACATTGCGGCCAGGTATGAAGAGCGTAGGAGTCATCGTTGGTACCATCGCACGTACCACCAGGCATTAGCCTGATTATAATTAGGCTGAGTACAGTACAGATCCGAGATATAAGGCGGCCGAGAAACGCGCGTGCTTCTGTCCCTACATTATTGCCGCTTTCTTATCGCGAGAGACGCCCATCCTCTTGGAGACCATAAGTTTTCGAGGCCGACCTCCAACATTCCGCGATGATAGTATTATTCCAGGAAAGAATATTTGTTGGTTCGTTACGTGATATAACGTTGGTTAAATGTATCATATTGTTTCATATTGGTTATTATGAGTAATGGAATTTTTCTGACGCGATGGAATCGGATTAGGAAAATTAGTGGAATTTAAAATACGCGATTTATCGATTCTTCTGATACTTTTTAATTTATCGGGTTAATTTAACAGGTTAATGATGATTTAGCGTTTGAACGTGTTGTTTCGTATTTACCCAATTTGAAATGAAAAGTATAAGGAGCATTTATTTTTTTTTTTATATATATAATTGTCCCTCGATTATCACGAGGAAGTAAATCACAGTTTCGAAATTAGCAATGAAAATTTATACGGATTATGAAATACACGTACGGTTCAGTTTCAATCATCGGCATCGAATCGTGTCCATCATCGTTCCGTTGATCTCGTACGAAATATTCGAAGCACTCGGGCGAGCAGGGGGAGACCGGCCGCGAAATTTAATTAACGCAGGAAAAGGTCCATTAAAAAAGCTGGTCCCATGGAAATGAGGAAAGGGTACACTTAAAATTCCGCCGGGGGAAAATGAGCGACAAAAAAAAAAAAAAGAAAAAAGTTGTTCGAAATTTTATTCCGACGGTGAAAATAAACGTGTACGTTCGAATCGCCTGTTCGAAGCTGGTACCGAAGGAATAATTTCGAAATCATTTCCTGATTTCTGTATCGTGGAACGAATAATCGATCGGAAAACGCAGTACCACGAAAGAAAAAAAAAGGAAGAAAGAAAAGAAGAGAAGAGAGAAGAAAAAAACGCGAGCGCATTTGTCCACCGTGGAAAGAAGAAGAAAAGAAAAAAAGGAGCAAAGGGCAGCAGAGCGAATCAGTTGCACCGGAGGAAGTTGTCCCTCGTGCCGTTGCTCTTGCGCTCCACACTCCTCCAATCTCATCCTCCTCCTCCTCCTCCTCCTCCCCCTCCTTCATGGCCCTGTTTCGTTCTCTCGAAACATTCTCCATCGAGAAGGCAGCGAGAAAGAGAATCGGTTAGAGTGGTTGATAAGAGAGGAACGGGAGGAGTGTGTTTGCAAAAGTTTCAAACGTCCAGTAAAAAAATTGCATTGGAGGCCGGCTTCCGCCGTTAAGCACAAAGCTAATTACCGGCTGAATATATTTCGGTACATTTTGTCGTGTCGGGACCGGAGGGGTCTTCGGTCTCTCTTCTTCGACCTAAACCACCCCCTCCTCGCCCCCATTCTTCCCTTTTCCTTCGTCTCGTGTAGCTACTCCCGATGACGAACCAGACGAACACGACAGGGGCTCCCGCTCTTTTTCAACGACGATCGACGAAACCGAAAGGCCCTACATACAAGGCCCTTCGTCCACCCTCCCTTCTTTCCCTCGACTTCTTCCCAGGCTCGCATAGAAGAAACAAAAAGAGAAAAAAGGGAGATTTCGATCTCCCTTTTGATTTAATAAAGCACCGAAAGATCGAGCATTCGTTCCTTTCGAAACGGGGGCAGAACGGTGCGCAATTAACCCTAAGCCCCAAGTGATAAAATTAACGCGGCGGACCCATCCGCGGCAGATAAAAACTATTGCTATCCGGTGGAGGGAGAATTGACCGCGGAGGGAGGAAAAAAAAAAAAAAAGATCCACCCCTCGGAACTGTTATAATCTCAATGCTTCCAGCCTGGCCGTGTCCATAAATAATTACCCGCGTCTACCCCGTCGGCCACCCCTAACGATCGTGAAAGGGAGAAATTGACAACTTTCCTCTTGATAATCCTTGCATATTAGTTTCGTACAAGTTTTCCCGTAAAATGGCGATTAAAGGACGACACGAAGGTGCCAATCTCGCGGCTCATTAGGCACACTTTCACCCCACGGACCCTCTCTCCTTTGACGACTAATCACGTAAGGGTTTACCCCGGACACTTTTTCCTCCTGGCTCTGGTACGGCAGTCGTTGTCGAGCGTGCTCGATCTGATAGCCTAATGCACGGCTTCCTATGCGGAAATGCTTCGCCACATTATTCTACGCTGCCTACGGGTGCTACACGGACTACAACAACCCTCCTCCTCACGTTGTACTTTTGTCACGAGAACCGAGTTCACTTCCGACTTACCGTCGTCCACGCTTTTTTTTCTCCCTTTCTTCCCTTTTCAATCTTCCACCGATGAGAATCGTCGGTGGAGGACGTTCGATTTAAGGGACGGATATGATCGATCCCCCTTCCTCGGCCCGACCATCGAATCGTTTCTAATCGAAGTGAATTATGGACGAGATTTAGATAAGAAGCTGTCGAGGTGATGAATCTTCGGCACGGGAAAATAAGGGAGGAATCGATCGATACGATCGATTAATATTTTGAATTGGATTTCTTGTTCTTCTTGCCTCTCTTTTCTTTTTTTTTTTTTTACCCTTGATATTAAATAGCAAATTTATTTGTATTAATGTGTAGCGTAAGTGTTGGAGATAGTTTTAAATGAGGAGAGGGGGGGAAATGAACGATAAAGAGGAATAATCTTGGAAATCGAAGTAAGAAACGTGAACTGTATCCTAAGATAATTATCACGTATATAAAACCCTCCCTTTTTGCAATTTCATTCGACAATCCTTGTGAATAATTGTGAATAAAATCCCGATAATTTTTCCATCTTTAACTGTCCACATCAAAAATTCCAGCCGGGGAAAACGTCGATCGCATTTAAAATTGATAAACATAATGTACATGCATCTCACTTCGCTTTTCATTCGACAAGATATATGTATACATATGTATACATATGGCAGGCGTTTCAATCTTTCAACATTGTTCGTGAAAATAACAATTTATAAACTATCTTGTAACACGCGATTCTTTATTTATTACGAAAGTAATACAAATTCGCTCCATGAAAGATAGTTCATTTCTGTTCATTAATTCTATTCGAAAAAGTGTATTCGCGAAAAAAGATTACCCTTTGACGAGCTAATTATTACGCGGCAAGCGTTAAGAATTAATAAAACATTCTCGACCCGAGAGAAAAATACTTTCGTGTAAGAACGTTTCCTTCGTTCAACGAAACTATCGGTCCCGTATCGAGAAGACGTAACGATAGAGGAAAGGGTGGGTGAGAGGGGGAGTCGTCGTGGAAAGCGCGGAAGGGAAGGGAATCGAGAGGAGAGAAAGAGAGGGACGAGGTTTCACAAAGCGATTCTTCGCACCCTATTTTCTCACGCGCACGTCGAATCGAAAGCACGTCCGATATCTTACGGAGACTCGTTGACGTCGAGCGTACATCATCGGATCTGCTTATACCGACGACGATATTGACAGCCTTCGTTCGATGAAGCTTGCCGGGGGGGATGATTGGGGTCGTCGATGACAGGGTTGCGACGCCTGTGTGCGCGCCTCGAACGTGTGTCATGCTCGTGTCCTCCCTCTCTCTTTCCTTCGCTATATCTGCCTGCATCTCCGCCTCTGTCTGTTTGTGCGCGAAATAAGGGGTGGGAAGAAAGGGGTGCGTAGGCGGAGGGAGGAAGAAAGGGTGAGATGCGCGGGAACTCGGGTTGGTACGTTATCAGATCTCACGGTAGGACACGCGACTCGGCCCGGAAGATCTTATCTCGCGGCGATGGAAGGAATTTTATGTCGTATAATGGACAGCGGTGGCGTACACACGACACAGAGACGCCTCCACGATGGATCTGCGTCGCGTGGAGCAGCCCCGGTTCTCGGTAACGAATAAAAGGCCGCCCGCGATTCTCTCTTCCTTCTTTTGAAAGCGAGAGAGAGAGAGAGAGAGAGAGAGAGAGACGACCTTACTTTTTCAGGTACGGGGTTTTTAATTTTTTTTTTTCTTTCCGTTCGGTGTAATTCTATTCGAAAAAGTGTATTCGCGAAAAAAGATTACCCTTTGACGAGCTAATTATTACGCGGCAAGCGTTAAGAATTAATAAAACAT